CACGACCATTCCACCCTCCTCTCTCCTCTCTCCATCATAGGTTTAAAAAGGGGAGATGGAGGGAGGGACAAAGGGGACCAGTCCCTGGTTACAAAGAGGAAGAAGACTCACTTGTTACAGTTTCCTCCTGTCCGTTTGGCCTTTGTTGTGTCCCTGCCCTGCCCATCAACACTGTGTGCACCCATGGGCTGATGCAGGCTGAGAGAAGATTGCCAGCTGGGCCTTGGCAGACCAGGATGGATGCAGAGGGGCCTTGTAGAGAAAATCCTGCCCAGACTCTGCCAGCAGAGGGATCCATTTCCTTCAGAGGGCCTTATGCTCAGCTAGCAAGAGGTTCCAACACAGGGTACCGCACGCACTTCCAGATGTGACCACATGGGGGTGGCATTGTTATGTGCTCAGCCCTGAGTGTCAGAGAGGAACGCTGAAGGCTAGGTTTCAAGAGTATCAGGCAGAAGGCAGATGAAGCTCCAGGATGTTGCCTGGAGGTCAAAGCAAGGTCCCAGACGTGTCTTAGCAACAGGCCTCTCAGGGGATGGGGAGGAGCGCCAGTTGCTGTAATGTGATGTCAACATGGATGGAACGTGCATTTTTCCCCATCTAGTGCAAGGTCTACCTGGGTCCTCTAGTGCTCCTTGATTTGACCTGTGACTCTGAGATGCTCAGGCATTCTGGGTTTCTGGGTGGCTTCTCAGTTTTTGACATTTCAGTTTCAAGGAAAATGTATTGAAATCCTTGCCAGTGTTTAAGTTTCTGTTTTGTATCTGAAGGGTCTGTAGAAACCAGGGACAATGATCCTCCTGTGTGGGGACACTGATTCTTTCTCCTTGAATATAGTCCTGCAGGTGCAATGTGCCCAAACCCAGGATTTTACTGTCTCATATCTCCACCCCTGACTGTGTTTCTAGAAGATCCATGGCTACAGCACCACATACATTGTATTTAACACACAAAAGAACAGAACCAGAATCCAAGCCATGTCTTTTCTTTTTTGAGCAGGGTCTCACTATGTAGCCTTGGCTGGCATGGCTTGCTTTGTAGAGCACCACCATGCCTGCCCAGAAGCAGTTTCCTTGACAAAGGAACAAAGCTCTTTGAGAGGGATTCATGGAGGGTAGGCTGTTCTGAGTGTATGCTATCTGTCTCTCTGTTCCCTTGTTTGATGAAAGTTTTCTAAATTTGCTGAGGAAGTTTTATAAATCTCTTCAGTGATGATGAGGTGAGTCCCTCTCATGAGAGTCACAAATGGTGTGAAAACCACGTGTTGTAGCCTAAGTGACAGGGAGCTGGCTCTGTCCCTGACTTGTGTCTCCCTCATGACATATCTTGGTAGAAACTCCTTGGAATTCATGCTCATTTTTCAGGTGTGGATAATACCATGTACCCCACCCACACAGGTCTATTACAGGACTCAAGCGAAGTCAGGAACCAAATTGTTCTTTTAGTACAGTATTGGGATGGGTGTGGGAGAAAAACCCTGGCTATCCATGTAGGACTGACAGGTGGAGATATGAGAAGTGTGGTCAGGGTTGGCCAACATGGTTTCATTTTTGCTTTCCTTTTTAGACAGGATCACAGTCTTAGCTCAGGGTGGCCTTGAACTCACAGAGATCCTCCTGCCTCAGCTTTCCCAAGTGTTGAGATTATAGGTATGAGTGACCATGCCTAGATATGATCAGGATTGGAGCTTTCCCCCTGGTACTTGGTACTTCTATAGTACTTGGGTAGGGGCGGAGGAGAGGTGGAGGGCGGAGGAACTGTGAACTGTGTCTCTACCTGGAAGGGCAGAGACTGGGCCCTGCAGTACCCCAAAGAGGAAAGCAGGGCAGGAAGGGGAGCCCACACAGTTGGAGAAGGCTGGCAAGCTTTGTGGGAAGAGACCACTGAGCGCAGAAGGCAGAGGCCTTGGAACTACTGACATCAGAGAAGATGCCTGGGTCATCAGGGAGGTACTTACTAGACACTGAGCCCACTAGACTGCCTGGAAACTTCAACTTCACAAGACTCACACTCAGGCACATGCACACAGCCCTTGTGAGCCTTGGACAATGCGCTCCTCTGCACAAGCTCATCCAGGCAGTCTTCTCCACAGAATCTCACAGTCTCCTTTGAATCTTGACTTTCATACTCAATAACTTAAGCAAACTAACCCCCGGGTGCTCAGTTTTCGCCTCTAAATATGCTAACATTACTAGTCACCCCCCCCCACACACACACAAAGTCACCAGCCTCCAGAAGAGGCAGCTCCTCCGGAAACACTTTGGTAAACCCCTCATGTACTGTGTCTGCACCCCAACAGTGGCTCTTCTCATAGCAGAAAGGTGTAAGAGGTGTTTGGGACAGCTTCTACCTCTTAGTCTCAGGAAGAAGAATATATATTTACTGAGCTAAGTGAAGTGAGGAAGAAGTATCCCCCAAACAGCCTGTGGCCCAATGTCCCTGCTCAGCATGGAGGATTTTCCAGAAATAGTAGGACTGGAGCCCTTCATGTCCTGTTCTGTCCCTGGTTCCAAGAGACCAGCATATGCTGTCTCCCAGCAAAGTGATGAGTACAATCATTTTCTCCTGCAGTTGCATCCATCTCCTTCCCTCTCTCCCTTCCTCTCTCCTTTTCCTCATCAACACATCCATCCAATACAGGCCAAGGACCTGCTCTGAGGCAGCAGCATGTATTAAATGCTAACACAGCAGCAGAGACTCATGCAATGAGACGCCTGCCCATTAGCTGTTCATGATCTGGTAAAGGAGCCTGTGATAATGGAACCCAAGGACACAGGTTCAGATTCACTACTATTCCCCCCAGGACCCTCCTCAGGAAAAGAGTTTTTAATATCCACATCTCAAGGTTCCTAAGGGAGGCAACACATGGTGTATCCAGCCTGAGCTAGGAGCCCAGAATTGGGTTCCATGCCAGGCCTCTGTGAGCATGCATGGGTCAGAGAAAGACAAATGCCAATGGTTCTTCCTGCAGCGAGACTGTATATCCATTTCAGCTCATCACAGCACTTGGCAGGTGTTTGCAAAGACATGGTCTCTGGCGTCTCGAGTTGGGATGAGCTTGGTTAAGGGGGACCAACATGAAGACGGAGAGACAAAGTCTGAGGTTGCCGGCTAAAGGCGGGGAAGGACTAGGTGAAATCAGACTACTCACTGGGCAGAATGGCAAGAGAGTCAGGCAGGCAAAGTTGGGTCCTTTGTTTTTCACACACTCTGGAGTCTCTGGTGCATGAAGCACTAGCGGGTCACCATGGCGGCCCACCCTGTAAAGATAGAACAGACCCAGCAGGGCAGGCGGCACCGTACCAGTTGAGCATGGGAGAGAGAGGAGTGCGGATTTTGGCAGGCCATGACTTCCAGAGCTGGTCCCCAGCCCGCTTCTGGTTTCATCGAGGTGACAGTGTTGAGAGCCAGCCTCATTCTGGTTTTCCTTGATGGGAAAGAGAGGCCAAGGGGGACCTGAGACATGGCGATTAGGTGCCAATGGAAAATTACAGACTGCCAGTCTCACTTCACACCCTCCACTGCGAGGAAGTTCTAGCAGACTAAGGGGAAGTCCACGTAAAGGGAAATTTCCCTTTCTCCCCACAATTTCCCCCCTTGTCATGTCACCCAGGACTGAAGAAGCATCTTGGTTTTCCCAGAAGCCACTGGCCTTTTCATTTCCACACTGTGAGCACACACTCACAGAGCCCTGCTTTGGAACACCCTCCCATCATGGCTGAGGGGACACACATTCCGCACGTGGATTCACATTTGACGGCTGCCAGGCTATTCTGGATGAGCCTTTGGCGTGCGGCTCGGTGCTGCCCAGAATCAGAGTGTCTGGATCCCAGAACCTCACCAGAGCCTACAGCAAATACTGACTGCTCTCCTTAAGTTCCTGTGATTGACTTTAACCCTCTCAGCAACCCTGCAAATCACACATGATCCACTTGTCCAGAATGGGAAACTGAGGCTCAGAGTCCGCCTTGGATCCTGGAGAGGGAGGAGAGGAAAGTCAGGGTGGGTGGGCTGTGCCCTGAATCTTATTTGCAATTCTCTTCCCGGCTCTGGAGCTTTCTCTAGGAAAATCCCAAGGAGAAGGCAGTGGCTGCGAGGTCTAGGGCTTTACTGGGGAGCCACAGAGGCCAGGTACTTGGTGGAAAACTCCAGCGTGTGATTCACCCTCCTCCCATGCCCTCGTCACTGAGGCCAGCTCCCCTCTCAAGGTCCTCAGTGTCTAGCCTGGGAGTTGGTGGCTCCCATCCCACTGCTCTGGTAAGAGGGGCTGTACCTTTCCTAAGAAGGAGCCAGTATTGGGGTAGAGGCGAGAAGAAGGATAGGTGCTGGGAGCAGGAGGAGAGAGGGCAGGGAGGTAGGGCTGCCCACAGCCCAGGTCAGCAAGGCTGCGGGGGGGGGGGCTTTTCCTGGACAGTGCCCACTGGGAAGACACCAGTTAGGAGGGAGGGGGCTGAGGGGAGAGAGAGACGGGGACAGAAAGCTTCACTTCCCGAGGGGAGATGTTGTAATCCTGGTTTATAGACTTTTCAGCCTCTCTTGCTGCTTGTGGTATTCCTCTATCTACCCCCTCTCTGTCCGTCTTTCCGTCCGTCTGTCTGTCTCTTTATCTGTGTCCCGGGACCACTGGGTGGGGCTGTGACAGGGAGGAGCAGGAGAGCTGAAGGTGAGAAATCCTCTTCCAGATCTGGAAACAGTCATTTGGGAGCAGAAGCTCCAGCTGAGCTGAGAGGCCAGGTGAGTGGGAAGCCTGCAGAGGAGCAGAGCGTTCAGCTGGAGCCCCAGAGGGTCTGTACCCCTGGCTCTGGAGGACTGTGTCTGGGCAGGGAGCAGGGAACTGGTTGCCTGAGGCCAGAGGGAGTCTGACCTTCGTGCATGCTACCGGTCCCCTCACTATCCACACCACGGAATTGCTCAGGGACAAGCCTGAGAAGTAGAAGAATCCACCGATGGGGAACTGGCCCTGAGCAGTGGGTGAAAGAGGCGGGTCTTCTGCCTGCCAGGGGAGGGCGGTCGGTTCCCAGAGGCAGGAAGGGTGAGTGGATGGGTCTGGAACTAACGGTCACAGGTTGGGGGTGCCTGCTCTCAGTCAGCCAGGGCCAGCACAGGAAGCCTGAGCTCCTCTCAAGAGGGGGAAAGCTACCTAGGCTGGGATTGGGGCTGAGGAGGGGCTGTGGAAGATGTGGGCTACCATTGTGGAGCCCAGCTGCCTACCAGGTGTGAAGGGCTACGAGGAGCCAGGCTTTGGAGCCATGCACACAGGTATGTGTGTGCAAAGGGACGTGACGGAATGGCACCAGGGTGTGCAGGGGTGGGTGCTGGTATGTGGGCACGGGCTGGAGCAGGGCTGGGTCTCTTTTATGCTGGGATGGGGGGGGGGAGTTGCCTGAGTGGAACTCTAGCAGTATTGGGGGGCAGGACTTCTGGAGTGCCTTCTAGACCCAGAGTGGGCTTCTGTCTAACCTGTCTAGCTTTGAGAAAAGAATTAAGACTGTACTTTCTAGTCCTTTCAGGACAGAGCCCAGTATATGCTCAAGGGCAGCCAAGTATGGTGAAGTCCCTCCCCTGCCCCCAGTTTGCCCCAGCTTGCCCCAGCCTGGGCAGCCTGTAGTGGAGAACTAGGGCTGCACAGGTAACAGAGCTTGTGGAGGGGAACAAATCTTTGCTGTCACTGAATCATTCCTAGCAAACAGACTAGCAGTGGTAGGGCCACCTTGGGGGCGGAGCTGTCCTTTGGGATCTGTTGTTGTTTTTGTTTTTGTGAGACAGGCTCTGACCATGTAGCTGATCTGGCCTGGAACTTAACTACCCTGCCTCCACCCCGAGTTCTGGAGATCTCAGGCATGTGCTACCCATACTGGCCCTTGTGCTTTTACAAGTAATAAAAATGAAAAAGAAAAGAGAGCTCCATGCAGCTTGTTTTCATGGCTATCATTCTACCGCCCCCCCCCAGTCTAACTTAGATGTCCAGTGCTGTGGCTTAGCTCTCTTTACCTCCACTCACTGTGGCTCTAGGCCTGCTCTCCTTTTTTGTGTGCCTTTGTGTTTATTCTCCTGTCTCAGTTTTCCATTCTTACCTATGATATATGCTCCTCTCAATAATCTCTTGACGAATTTTTATACGATTATTATTATATGTCTGGATGTTTTGTCTGCATGCACGCCTGATCATTACATGCATGTCTGGTGCCTGAGGAGGACTGAGGTTATAGGCAGTTATAAGTCACCATGCAGGTGCTGGGAATTGAACCCCGGGTCCTCTGGAAGAGCAGCCAGTGCTCTTAACAGCGGAGCCATCTCTCCAGCACCAATCTTTTATTTATAGAAAATTCATGCCCATGGCCATTCATCATCTCAGGTTTTCTTTTTCCTTCTCATCCTTGATGAAGCTCAGCCTCAGGCCTGGACTGGGTTCTGGGTTCGCTTCCCTGACCCTGCTCTCCTCCATCATCCCCTTCATTCATTCCCTCGTTTGCTAGCTGCCAGTGGTCTGGAGAGTGTGAGGGCTGTCTTCTGCCAGCTTCCTTGGGGTTCTTTGCGTGGGGGTTTACTCTGAGCCATGGCTTGGCAAGCAACAGCAGCCTATTGTGGTCTTTTACACATCTCTTCACCTTTAGCCTCCTGGTCTGCCATTGTCCCTACTCAGAAGGGGCCATTCTCTCTTCTAGATTTCAGGCTCAGGGAGGAGGAGTTATTTGTCTAAGTCACAAAGCAAGAGCTGGTCCTACCACTCGTTTTCTTGGTACTCCAGTGTGAGTATGCTTCGTGTCAGGCGTTATTCCCCAAGCCTCGCTTCTTCACCTGTAATGCTGGTCTGATAGTGTTAGTAACTCAGAGCCTGTCAGGATGCGATCTGGTATAGGAATGTCTGTAGTCCCACACTGACTAAATGGTAACCTTCTGTTGTTGTAATTAGCAAATCTGGGTGAACTTGGTTTCCTGCCTGGAGCTTCTGTGGCAGTGTTTTGGGCTTTTTCATTAGCCCTTGATTTGTTTGTCATCTGCCATTTGGGAATGATTCAGGGGCCACTCCGCAGGGAGCCAGAGTTCCAGTTCCATCTGGCCTCAGGCCTCACTGACAGCTCCCCTGGGATTGAGCACCCATGGATTCCGCTTAAGCAGCCTGGACCCCCTCCTCCATCTCCCTTGTGTCTGAGGCTGGTGCCCTGCCTTTACACGAGCTACTCCCCTTATCCCATTCCTGCATGGAAACTGCAGTTAGAAACTGAGTATATCCCAATTCCAGAACCTCGCCCTGCCATGCCTCCTCATTCTTGGGATAGCCTGCACCCTCCAAATCACCTTCAAAATTTTCCACAACCCTAGCTGGCTCCTGCCTACGCCTTTCTAACGGACTGGGGCTTGGGCTGTTGCCTGGGTTAAAAGGACCAACAAATAAACACAGAGTCTCCCTTCATAAAAAGACTCTCTTGTGCTTCCTCGGAGCCCTGGAGGAGTATGGAGTGCATGGTAGACCTGGCTATTTGATTCCCTGAGTGTTCCCTGGAGGGGAGGGCCAATGGACAGCGATTCTCTGACGGTCCAGGCACCTCCTCCTTGGCATTTCCGTGGGAGGAGGGCCAGTAGTGGCCTCAGCGTGATCAGCTGTGTGGAGGGAGGGACGAGAAAGCAAACATAGATTCCAAATGAAATTTACCTCCTGGCCATTGACAAATAGACAACGGGGTCAGAAAACAGACAGTGGCCTCTGGAAGCTTGGGGAGTGCTGGACTTTTCAGAGGTCAGGGGGAAGGGAATAGCAACAGCCACAATGGGCAGCTCCTGCCAGACTGTCCTTGTAAGAACCAGGCACTCAGCACTTTGAGGTCACCTTGAAATGACCACCATCCAAGTGACTCCCCCAAGCCAGATTCCACAACTATTCTCAAGACAGACATAAAAAAAAAAAAAAAACAACTTCCCTGGAAGGCCTAGAGCTGGCCCCGATGCCACCCCTGTCCTCAACTGGTCTTATTTAGAGGCCACACCTTCTCCCTCCCTCCCAATCAGAGCCCATAATGAGCCAGCTCCCATGTTTACCAGGCCTCCATCGATCCCAACTGCTCAGGAAAGCTCAATGGGCCACCTCAGCCACACCTGCCCTTTAACCCCAACACCCCTCACAGCCAGCCTTTGAGCCCTTCTGGTCTGGAGGCCAGAGGCCAGGTTGCTGTTATTCACAGCAAACTGGAGATCTGGACAGAAGGGCTAGCAGTGATGGGGTTTTTTAGTCACAGTTCTACCCCTGGGTGGTGTTGGGCAAGTCTCTGACCCCTGAAAACCTGCTTCATCTTTGCTTTGTCTGCGGAAGACTTGGCAAGCTAGAGTCTGCTTCCTGTTGGCTCAGCCTCATAACTCTGAAAGCAGAGTATCACTTTAGGTAGAAATGCCATCAAGAGCTTGGGAAGAAAGTTCTTGCCAATAGGAAAGACTGGTCTGGAAAGATCATGGTGAAGGGAGATCTCTGTGTGTGTGTGTGTGTGTGTGTGTGTGAGCGCGTGCGCAGTCCCTTTTTTTTTTTTTTTTTTTTTTTTTTTTTTTGCCATCACCAGGGTTCTGCCTCTCACAATCCTGCCTTCCCTTACAGGGTCTCCCTATCCAGTATGGACGGAAAAGTTGCAGTTCATGAAGATGGGTATCCTGTGGTCTCGTGGGTCCCTGAGGAGGGAGAGATGATGGGCCAGAAAGGCCAGGACCAGGTGAAGGATCGAGGCCAATGGACCAACAAGATGGAGTTTGTGCTGTCAGTGGCTGGGGAGATCATTGGGCTAGGCAATGTCTGGAGGTTTCCCTATCTCTGCTACAAAAATGGAGGTGGTGAGTTTGTGTTCAGTGATGTGGTGGGGAGTGTTGTACCCTGCCAGCAGGGCCACTCCTTCCCTGGAAGTGTGGTCAAATGGACGGGGGGGGGGGGCTGCCATGAATCTGGAAGGCTCTTGTTGGGTCCCAGCTCCATCTGTAGCCTCAGTGTCCCTTCTTTGAACTGGGGGTGATTTATTACCCAGGACTATGTGAGATTTAGGTGAGACAATGATCAGAAGCATGACGCTTGGCTCCTTAGCTTCTGTAGCACCTTCAACAGATGATAGCTGCTATTAGGATTCATTCATTCATTCACTCATTCATTCATTCATTCAATCCCATGACTGCAGGCCTCTCATGAGCCAAGGCTCTGTTCTAGATGCAAGCCAGAACTTGGTCTGTGTGTTGCATTTTGATGAAGGCTGCAGATCACAGGCAAGAAACACATGTGGCATGTCATGGTGACAAGTTGAGTGGCAAGGAGAAAAGTAAGGAGAAGGGAGAGGGACTCTGGACAACATCTGGGGGGGATGTAATGATGTGGAGGGGGGAATAGTCTGTGACCAGTGGGATTCATTCTTGGGTCTGGCAGTTCATTTTGCAGAAGTGGCATATTCTCATTGTAATATCAGAACTGTTCCAGGAAGAGGAAACACACTAGAGATAATCATTGTTTAGAAAAGCGTTCTAAACCCTATTTATATTTAAGCTGATACATATCTAGCAGGTGTGTCCAACCCTTTGACACAGGTTAGGCATCGATGGAGGCAATCTCTTTGTGGGTCAAAAATAGGTTTTAAAAATTTGCATCTGTACTAAGAACACACAGCCTTTCCATAGCATTCTCTTGACAGTATAGCCTAACTGAGTTGGAAGCTGTGGATGGGTCCTGTATCTAGACTGTGCTGCTTTATATAAGAGGCTTGAGCATGATGGGGTCTGGCATTCAAATGGTTCTGGAAGCATTCTTCCAAGATTACCAGGGCTGACTATGCCTGGGCAGACTGTCCTTCACCTCGCCTTTCTTTCCCTAATCTTTAGTATATGGGACTAAATGAGGCCTTGGCTTTCACCTTGGAGTCACCAGCTTTTTGGGGGTTCTAGAAAAATAATAAGAAGGATCAGGACTTAGTTCTTTCCTTATTCTAGATAAGCTGGGAATAGATTTAAATGGGAACATGATGTCATAGATTAACCCAAATGTCATTGTCTTGCTTTAGGCTAGAACTGTTCCAACTCCTTGTGATAAAAGGGCTCAAGTCCCCCTGACCACAGGCCCTACTGGGTGGAAAGTAACCTTTTATTAAGTTATGTCGAGAGATTCATTGATTATTGGGTAATAAACACAGCTCTGTAGAAAGGGAGAGCCTCTGGGAGAGGAAGAAATTAATTTAGCCATCCTTAAGAAATTGTCTCATCCCAGACAGAACCTTCTCTAAGTCTTCTTTGTGACTCTGTGTTTCAGGGAAGAGTCAGTGGCCAGGTCATTGCCTGAGGTAGATCTGAGCAGATGGAGGAACATCTAAAATAACCCACAGCTGATTCCCTGTGTTGGCTGAGGTCCCCGTGGACATTGTCAGGTTGCTTGTGGACACAGCTGGGGACACACCATGAGGCTGTGGCCAGGCAGTGTCCCCAGGCTAGGATTAGATCATCCTGTTTGAGGATAGGATATTTGCAGGGCTGGAAGCTCAGGAGAGAGCCATGTGCATGGGTTCCCTGCACTATACTCCATTCAGCCTCCATTCAGCCCCAAGAAAGCCTGAGGAAACCTATCTCTGGGTCTCCACATCGTCTGTGGGTGAAAGCCCACATTCCAGGGACACAGGAAAAGTGCTCCCATAGCTGGTAGGAAGAGACCTGTGGCTATATGCACCCATAGACTTCCTGTGAAGGTCCCTCCTTCAAAGTATGGTATTTGCACAGGAGGCACATTAGTTAGCTTTTATTTATTTAAAATTTTCCTTTTAAATTTATGTTATTTTACATGTGTTACTATTTGCCTGCATGTATGCATGTACACCTCCTGTGTGACTGATACACACAGAGGTCAGAAGAGTGTGTTGGGTCCCTGTAACTGGACTTATGGATGCTGGGAACTGAACCCACTTCCTCTGCAAGACATCTCTTAATAGTGAGCTGTCTCTCCAGTTCTATTAGCTAGTCTTTAAAGGGGAATTATGATGCATGTGATAGATGCATCGGTGAATTTGAAGACATGATTAATGACACAAATATAACAGGACAAATGTTATGGTCCCACTCATGTGTTACTTGTGAGGTAGGGAAATTCACAGAGGCAAAAAGTAGAATATCATTGACAGGGCTGAGGAGGCAGAGATCATGTTTGAAGCATGCGGAGTTTCGGTTTTGGAAGATGAAAAAGTTCTGGAGGTGGATGCACAACATTTAGAACACTTTAATGTTATGGGATTGTACATTGAATAAAAATGTACACGCTTGCATCGTACACACTTTAACATGCACATATACACCAAGAAAAGAGGAATTCTCAGCAATTGTGCCTAAGGAGATGTGTGCTAAAGAGGAAACTGAACAAATATGTCAGGGTGTGGGCAATTTTCACGCTGATAAAAAACTAAGCACGAAACTAAATGTCCAGTGATAACATACTAAAGAAATACCATTCCCACACCAGAACATTCTACGGGCAATGAAATAATGTCATGATATGAATTTTAAAGTGGTTTTCAAATAATATATAGTATATTGCTTTTGTGAAGAAGAACTGTATATGCTTACAAGAAATCTGGAGGGAGGGTCTGTAATCCCAGTACTCGGGTTGCTGAGGCAAAAGCAAGCACCATAGGATCAAGGCTAGATGGGTGACATTGTGAGACCTTGTCTAGCAAAACAGGACCAAGCAGACTCTGAATGAATAGCTGAGGCCCTGGGTTGTTGTCCTAGCATGGTACCCACCAACAAAAGATGGGGAGAGAGGGAGGAAGAGGAGGAGAGAGGGAGGGAGGGATAAAAAGGGGGAGGAAGGAGGGAGGAAGGGGGGAAGAAAGGAAGGCAGGGAGTAATGGGGGAGGGAGGGTGCGGGAGACTCAGGCAGGCAGGCTTCTGGAAGGCTGTACAATACTCTGTGCTTTTTTTTCTTTTGTGCCCCCTGCCTTTCATCCTCAGTGGGAGGATGTCTTGACCTCAGAGGCGTTATGGCATAGCCACATGTAGTGGTCAGGAGTCAGGATGTCTCAGGGTCAGGAGGCCTGGTGTATGTGCCCGTTTTCTCATCTATATCTTGTTCTCCTGTTTTGAGCCTGGGCTGGGCTTTCTTTTCTGTGAAGGACGACAGCAGCATCTCCTTGGTGGGAGGTTGATTTGTGAGGGTTCAAAGCTGCTGAAGCCTAGGAGAGGGTCGGACACAGAAAGCACCAAGGAAGTGTTGCTAAGCTGCAGACAAAAAGAATCCTCTCCCCTGAGGGACCTCTGGGCTGAAACAGGACCTCAGCACAGCTCCACAGGCCCCTGTAGGGCTTGCTGCAGGGCAGGCAGACCAAGCAGACCTTAAGGAAGGAGAAAAGCCCTCTGAAAACTGTTGGTGAGAAAGCTTCCAAGCTGGCGTTGTCTGTTTGCTTCTAAAATGTAACATCTCGATCGTTTAAGAAGCATGTCAAATTATACAGAACACATGTTTTTCTTTCAAAACTAATATGGGATTTGATTTGTGAAACACAGTGAATAGTTCGTTTATTGGAGCGTCCCTCTCAAGATTCATTCCTTTCCCTCCAAAGACTTTGCCTGCCTTACTTGGGGCTCATGTCATCTGCTGGGCATCCCTGACAGCGTGCAGCTAGGCAGAGGGAGTCCCGGTGGGTGGGTCTCGGGTGTGTGAGGAAGGAGACTGAGGGTAAGATGCTGGAGGGGAGTTCAAGACTTTGAAGCAGCAAGTGACTCAGACTCTGCCTTTCTTCCCATCAGGAGCTTTCTTCATCCCCTACTTCATCTTCTTCTTCAGCTGTGGTATCCCAGTGTTCTTTCTGGAGGTGGCACTGGGCCAGTATAGCAGCCAGGGGAGTGTTACTGCCTGGAGGAAGATCTGCCCCCTCCTCCAAGGTGAGCATCATCCTTCCCCTTTTCTGCTTTAGAGCCACCATCCTGCATCCTGCGTGCCTCCAATGTTGTCATTGCTCTCCTGTTCCCATCCCTACTCTCCAGCATCCTCTCCTGTGATGTGTGAAATCAACCTCTTGAGGCCCAAAGCTTACATGCCCAGGGAGAAGGACCTGTCCAGAGAAACAGTACAGAAGTATAGGCACCAAATTAGGTGTAGATATTGGGAGATGAAGCCAGGAACCTGAACCTTAGCCTTCTCCTGCCCCAGGGAAAGTATGTCTCTGACTCTATGTCATGACCCAAACAGGCTTCAAAGGACACAAGTACAGTAATGTTGATAATACTGATAGCTGTGTCAGTGTTGGTGTGAGCGCTTTACGTGCATCCCTTTACCCAGGCCTCTTATCCCGCCATTGACCTCATTCTGCAGAAAAAGAAAGTGGAGCCATCGGCTGAGAGTTTGAACCAGGCTCTCTGCACTCCTTTCTTCTTGCTTCTATTAAGGGCAGCGTGCTCTTCTCTGTAGATCTGTGGTGTAGACACAAACAGCTGGGGTGTTTTTTGCCAGCCTCCTTTAGTGGCTTGGCCAGACCCTGAGTTGCAGTGGAAGGCCCAAGAGCCTCCTTGTCTGAGACATCCCTTACACCTCAGATACAGAGAGGGGTCTTTCTTTATGCTAGCACCTGAGGGGCCACCAGGGACCAGGCTACTGAGTTATTTGTCCAGGAAGGAACCAGCTTGAGTGTATCTGACGAGCACTGGGTACCCCGGCTCCTGAGAAGGCTGCCTGACCAAACACTGGGGAAGGTGAGGCTGATTGGGAGCTGCGCCTCTTGGGGCATTAGCTGGTCTCTTGTAGCATCCAGGAGGCCCTTAGTGGGGCTCCAGCCCAGCAAAGCATTGCGGTGAGACCTCCCCCAGCTTGTTTCCACCGAGGAGACCAAGTTCTTCCAGTGCCGCTCTTCTCCACTGGCTTCTGATGCTCTTGCCAAGCTCGTCCTTCTTTCTGCTTTGCCACTTTTCATTTGCAAGTGATATATGATGGTAATAGAAACAGAAAAAGCAGGCAGGGAGAAATAAAGGTAGAGACGGGGATAGAGATAGAGGGGAGGAGGAAGGAATGTTATCACTGCAATGGGAAGATGAGTGATAGGAAGCTTAGAGGAGGGCCACACGTGACTGGCAGACCCCATGTGACTTTTTTTTTCTCATGCTGATCTCTTGGACTCTCTTTGCTTCTGAAGGCATTGGCATGGCATCTGTGGTCATAGAGTCTTACTTGAACATCTATTACATCATCATCCTCGCCTGGGCTCTCTTCTACCTGTTCAGCTCCTTCACCTGGGAGCTGCCCTGGACAACCTGCAACAACTCCTGGAACACAGGTATCTATCTGTGTGTCAGCCTCGCCACGGGGCCTTGCCCATGAGCTTGGTCCATGGTGGCTCATGACAAAGCGTGTCACAGACCTTGCTTTATAAGCTCTGTGGGTCGTGCTGTCAGCTCTACTGGCTAGTCCTTCTGTGTAGCTGTAGGCCCCTGGGGGAATCAATGGGGTGGTTACACAACCACAGCAGACCTCCAAATAGCAAATGTTCTTGGGAACCTCTCATGTGTCAGACTCTCTGCTCAAACTGAGTAAGGGCTGATAGGACCCCACACTGTCTGACCTGGCTATGGTAGAGATAGAGATGAATCAACTTTACCATGGTGGGTGAGAAAAACAGTATAGCAATTACAGAACAATGGAAGAGGAAGAACCCATCTTGAGACCAGTATTGGGGAATTCCAGGGACAATGGGCAGGCCAATGGTGGGCTATTGATGGGGGATGCCTATGTGGGTGGTGCATGTCTGTGTTCTGTGTTTTTCTGGAGGATTCCGGTCAGGGCCAGACTCACTGGAAACAAGTGCAGTGGTCACAGGGTATACAGGGAAGAGGACTCAGTCTCGCTGATACCCTGGCTCTTGAGGAAACCCTTAGGCCAAGCAATGGTGGGAAGCTCTAGCTGCAAGGTCAGAGAGTAAGTGCAAGAGCATCTCTCCTCATCTGGTCCCCAACTGATATTCATCCCAACCTTGTCCCCAACAGAGCATTGCGTGGACTTTCTGAACTACTCAGCAGGCGCAGCAGTGAACCGCTCTGAGAACTTCAGTTCACCTGTCATGGAATTCTGGGAGTAGGTCCTGGGCCTGATTGTGGATATTCCAGGGGCTCTAAGCACAGGGAGCCTGGATGTCTGGATTGTGCAAACTTGGACGTTGGTGGTGCATACTTAGTTAAGACTGTTCGGATTTTGTAGCATCACACATCCTCTGCCCCCAGACCTACATCATTTAGAGATAAGGGAGCTTTAGTATTCAGCCTTGACTGCCTCTCTATACCTTCACACTTACCCTGAGATTTTGGATGTTGACGCATGCCTAAGACTCTGTGTGTGCTTTCTAGAATGACCTATTCTTTGCCCCTAAGATCTACATCACTGAGAGGTCGGGGGGTCAGGGACCTTCCCATTCATCCTTGATTTCCTACCTACACCTTCACCCTTACCCCAAGCCTTCACCTGTCTGCACAAACTTGCATTTTCTCATCTGCCTCCACTCATTCTCATGGCTGTCTTCCTATGCCATCCCCACACTCCAGATGTACCCTCACATCTGTGGACACCCGTTCACAGGGTGATAGAAAGCACTTTTATTCTCTCCTGGCAGCCAGATGTGTGTATGTCTTCCAAACTGGGTGCACTGCTATTGGGTTGGTAGCTTGACACTTGACACCACAGAAATGTGCCCACCACTCTCCCTCCTGTGTGACCCTGCATACCTCCACCTCCCCAGGCCCCGTACGCTGCCGCTTTTACTCATGGTCTACCCATGCCCTCTCGCCTGCCCTTTTGGGGTTATCTGAGCTCTCTCCTCTCCACCCTCACCTTTACATGGCAGCGTCCCCTCCTTTGGCCCCCTGCCAGTGCTGACCTCCCTCTGCATGTGTGCGATCTATTCTCTGTCGCTCACTCCCAGTTTCAACCCTTTCTCTCTCTTTATCTCTCTGTGCGGCAGAGAAACCTGGATGAGGTAGAAAGGCACAGATACCCGTGGCGTTACAGTGATTTTGTCCTCTAACAGCCAGGGGCACTCAGGCCACAGGTGGGATGATAGCATGACCATGGAGAGGTTGGGGACGGCAGGGGTGTGTGGTATCTGTTGGGTCAGCTCTGAATCAGGGACTTGGTGACAGAGGCAGATTGTCCCCTTTGGTCTTTCAACTGGTTGCTTATTTTTCTCAATCCCGTAGGAGACGGGTTCTGGGTATTACATCGGGCATCCATGACCTGGGGTCCCTGCGCTGGGAGCTGGCCTTGTGTCTCCTGCTCGCCTGGGTCATCTGCTACTTCTGCATCTGGAAGGGGGTCAAGTCCACGGGCAAGGTAAGGAATCCCGGCTCCTGATGAGCACTTAGAGTTACAGAGTCCTCAGGGACACTTGAAAGAGCCCCTCAGGACAGCAGAAAGAACACAGTTTGAGAGAGATACATATAAGAATAGGTGAAGTTGCAGGAACATGGGGTTTAGCTCAATACAAGGGGACACTTTTCCCCCCAACAGGGTTAAAAAAGACCTGTTTATCTAAGCAATATTCAGAGCAAAATAAACCATAAGAGTCCACTTTTGGAACTCATCGGTTTCCAAGCTGTCAGCAATATGGGGGGGAGGGGTGTCTCCCAGTCTGCACGTGTGCATCTGTGTCTCGTTCTCCATTGTGTATGACCGGGCCACACACTCTTTTGACTTGCCTGTTGTATTTAAATGACACACGAAGAAGAGTTTCCATACACATTAGCAAACAGAGCTATCTTGGGGGTAAGTGCCAATCAGTGAAGGGGCTTAAACCGAGAACGGGCACCAGTGGGCTTGTTCTAAAGTGACATTTCAGATCTGTGCATCATTTCCAGTCCAGAGAACGGAATTGAAGTCACACTCTTCACAATCAAGAATGGCAGGTTCTGAGTGTTCTGATCACCCTTGTCCCTGGACTAATGAACATCTTAAGGGAGGACAGGTTGACTCCAACATGGAGTCAGAGAGAGTGCAGTCATGGCGGACAGTGTGGCTCATGACTGTTGTGGCAGGAACCAGAGGCTGCTGGTCATTACATGATGCTGACCAGGAAACCGTGGGTTTGCAATGGGAAGCAGAGCCGGGTTGTATCAATGCCCATCCCACAGCCAAGGCCCTTGTCCAAAATTTCCAGAACTTCTCAGTACAGGACCCCTAGTGGGGAACCAAGTGTTCAAACGCATGGGCCAGGCTAGGACATTTCCTAACTAAGTGGCCATGCTCCTTATTGGTCAAAAAAGGCAACACCAGTAAAGATAATGATGGTGGTGGCTGTGATGCCCAGACAGATACAAATGGTCAGGGCAGCATGGAATCCCTGTGGAGTCTCCAGGACGCTCAGGCCACTGCTGCTGCCCCAACCAGGACTGGAAAAGTACAGTATGGATTGCCAGACAAACCTGGCCTCCTTCCCCATAGAGAGGCAGCCATGCTCAGGGGTTTGGGGGAGGGTACCCAGGATGGAGGATGGAGGGGGCCAGGTTCTGGACTTAAATCTTTGAAAGGTTATGGACTGGGAGCTTCTTCCTCTCTTGTCTTCCCCACTTACACTCTGCCCTCCCCCACCCACCCCTGCTGATGTATATCACACCCCCCCCCCTGCTGGGGAGTGAGAGCCACTGGAATGTGTAAAGGAAGGTGTGGAAAGTTTCATGTGCTCGCCAGCAGCTGTCTCTATGAAGTCTGAGGTCTGAGCTCGGGTGAGGAATGTGATGGTGTGATCTACTCTGCCTGGGGACAGGTGGAGGCAGGGCAGGGTGACCACTGGAGACTCTTGTGCCCCCCTGCCTCCCCCTGCCTCCCCCTGCCTCCCCCTGCCTCCCTCCTGCCTTCCCTCTGCCTCCCTCCTGCCTCCCCTCTGCCTCCCCTCTGCCTCCCCCTGCCTTCTCCTCCACCACCCCTCTGCCTTCCCCTCCACTACCCCTCAGCCTTCCCCTGCATCCCTCCTGCTTCCCCTCTGCTCCCTGCCTCCCCTCTCTCCCCCTGCCCCCCCCACCTCTGCCCTGCCTCTGGGTACCCATGCCAGGAATGACTTAGGCCTGCTTTCCCTCCAGGTTGTTTATTTCACAGCCACTTTTCCCTACCTGATGTTGATCATTCTCCTGATCCGGGGTGTCACCCTTCCTGGAGCCTACCAGGGTATCATCTTTTACCTGAAGCCAGACTTGCTACGCCTCAAGGACCCCCAGGTGGGAATCATGACGGGGACTGTTAACTGAGATGTGCTTTCACTGGACTATACTGTACTTTCAAAGTCTTCTGTTGGTTTTCGCGTGGTTTGAAGGAAACAGATGTATACTGGAGCACAACTAGAGGTCTTAGAGAAAGCTGTGAGGAAGGAATAGAGGGTCTTGAAACCTCACCGCCACTGTTAACCCTCCAGTCTACTTCCTCTCACCCCTCCAGGCAATGCGCATGCAGGAATACAACTGAGATCATTTCATTCCAAGACATAGATCCTTCTGACCTAAATTATGGTACTTGACTTCCCATGCCATTACATTCACCTTTAAATGTTACCTCAGCATCTGTATAATATTCCCTCCAGACATAATTTATTCAACAAAAACGCCCTCAGGGTCTCTTCCAGCTAGGAACAGTCTATTGCTGGGGGGTAGAACAGTGGAGAAAGCGGACTATCTCTCTGTCTTGCTGAACCCTGAACCCTGTCTTCATATACTGAGGCGTTGTCCAATTTTGAATAGACATAGTCTATTAGTATCTGTGGGTGATTGTCCATGACACTGTACCCACAGATCTCTTGTTAGAAATGACACAGTATTTGTGTCTGACCCTAGCTCATCCTGCCACACACATTAAATTGCCTCTTGATTTCTTATAAAACCATAATATCAGCTTTGTATGAATAAATAGCTACCCTATTGCACCCATACTAGGAGCAGTGTGAAGGAAAACGTTGGCCCTTGTTAGGACACACACTTTTTTTTTTTCTGAATATTTTTCATCTGAAGGTTGGTTGCTCCCTGCCCACTTTGGTGTGTCTGTCACAGGCCTGGGACATAGGCTGCATGGCCAGGGAGCTCCTGGGGTCTGCACTGGGCTTACAAGTGCATACCCCACGCCTGACTTTTTTAGCCTGGTTATAGGGATAGAACTCAGCATCTCAGGCCAGTACTATAGCCCTGGCCCAAGTACAATGTATTTTTACTCTTTGGTAACTTAATGGTCACTTATCATTTCGTGGTTTATTTTATTGTTCATTACACGTGGGGCTGGGCATTTTCTTGTGAATGCATTGGCCATTTTCGTTTCCTCCTCTAGGACTTGCCTGAGCACACTGCACACTGTTTTTTTTTTTTGCTTCTACCAAGTAGTCTTGGTGAATTTCTTTATATTTTTATGATGTAGCCTGTGTGCCAGGACATAGTTCAAACATAGTTCAAAAGGTGCCATGTAGACACACTGGCTGAAGGAATGCCAGGGATGCTTCGCCTTACCAGGTCCGGGTACACTGCCTGGGAATAAAGTAGCTCCTCGTGCTGTTGGTGCTTCCCGAGTGCTCACAGAGCCAAACTGGAAATGGGTGCTGCCCATGAGAAGGTGGCTGTGGAGAAGGGGGAGGCACCCTGGGCAACAGGGTGCAGCATGATGCCGTGTAGGACATTAAGAGGTGGGGTGTGCTGAGGTGAGGGGTTGCATTCTGCTAGCCACAGCTCTAGGCCCTAGTTGCCTCTACCCCTTTCTTGGGCTTCACGTAGGTGTGGATGGATGCGGGCACCCAGATCTTCTTCTCCTTTGCCATCTGCCAGGGCTGCCTGACAGCCCTGGGCAGCTACAACAAGTACCACAACAATTGCTACAGGTGAGAGCACTGGGCTGGGCAGGCAAGGGCAGCCCTGCCCCTTGGGCAGCCACGAAAGGCCCGTGTGGACACCACCCCTGACCTGGTTTCTTTCAGCCCCTCTCTGGCCCCTCTTCCCCTGACATCTGGTGTGTGTGTTTGCAATATCACACTCCGTGCTTTCCCATTTTTCTTCTGGGTTTCTCCATCTTTCTTCCTCTTCTTTCTCTCTTATCTTCTGACTTTTGATCTCTCCTTTTTGGATTGCCTTTTCTCCCTTCCCTTCTCCTCCCTTCCCTTCCCTTTCTCTAGCTGACCTCCTTTATTTCAACAGGGACTCCATAGCCCTCTGCTTCCTGAACAGTGCCACAAGCTTCGTGGCTGGCTTTGTTGTCTTCTCCATCCTGGGCTTCATGTCTCAAGAGCAGGGAATACCCATTTCTGAAGTGGCTGAGTCAGGTAGGGGACTTGGGGGGGGGGAGAGTCAGAGAACACAGATTCCTCCTGCCGAGAGGGAGGTGTGCCACCATCCAGGGCAAGGAGCCTTTTTAGCTTGGGGTAGGGGGATTATGTGGCATAAATAAATCTTCTAGAATTGTGGGATAGAAGAAAGGAAAGAAGGAGAGGGAGGGAGGGAGAGAGGGAGGGAGGGGGTGGGAGAGGAGAGGGAGAGAACACATAGGAGCATTTGCCCCAGGGACGAGCATAGAATGAACTTTCTTTAAACAGCCCCACCCACATGCCTGCACACAGAGATCACAGATATTCTAGATGCCCACAAGTGCTCGTAGGCACACATACATGCTCACAGTATATACTCATGTGGGCACTCAAAAATGCTCAAGACTCATACAGAATGTTCACAGATACTCATGGACACACTCAGACATACACACTCACAGATGCTCACAGACACACAGAGACATGTGAAGATCACAGAAGTATACACTCACAGACGCTCAGAGGCACACAGAGGTCACGGATGTGCACACTCACAGGTGCTCACAGAAGCACACAGATGTATTTAGTCATTCACAAAGAATCAAGTGTGTAAATTCACACACACACACACACATGCACATTCAGGCATTGGTAAGTGAACACAAAAGCACATAAAAATCATGGACCGCTACACTCATAGATGCTCACAGAGGCATACAGATCCTGACATAAAATAAAGGCATATACAGACTAATAGATGCGCACAGATGCTAAGAGACAGGCATAGATTCTCATTGGCCCTATAGATATCCATAGACACAGACTAACAGATGCACATGGGATGCCAAAAGACAGGCATAGATTCTCATCGACCCTACAGATGTTCATAGGCACAGACATTTGTAGCAGGCACTCACGGCTGCCCACAAACCTTCACAGAGGCCCACAAAGGCTCTCAGGTAATCCTCTCTCTCTCACACACATTACCAGACACAGATACACACACAGAAGTTCACAGACATGCATTCAGATATCCCCAGAAACTCCTGGGTGCACACAGTACTAAGGAGAGGGCTACTCTTCAGGTAGTGAGTGGTCTGAAGTCCACCCAACGGTATCGTGTGCCTGGCAGGTCCTGGTCTAGCCTTCATTGCCTTCCCCAAAGCCGTGACGATGATGCCTTTGTCCCAGCTGTGGTCCTGCCTTTTCTTCATCATGCTCCTATTTCTAGGGCTGGACAGCCAGGTATGGAACCTTCATCCTGGGTCCCTCTCTCAGCGTCTGTGCTTCTTGCTAGCACTTTTCCTCACCTACCTTCTCCCTGACTGTGGATCAGAGGCCTCACTCTGGTTCAAATCTTTTGCCTGAGGCTCTGAAGGGTGGTCCCAGGGCTCCAGAGCGTCTGCTGTGAAAGGCTGGCCACTTTGCTCTCCAGGTTGAGCCTCTTCCCCTGTACATGGGCACTCTCTCAGATGCTCTACAGAAGCTCATCCCCAGCCTCACGGTCCAGCCCCATCCTTCCCAGAACCTCTCCCCGATTCCAACCTTCCCTACTGTGATTCCATGATAGGGAGTTGTAGCTGAGGGAATGGCTGACTTGCGGCTGCCCCTGCCCGCACATCAGTGTAGGCAAATAGAGTGACTCTTGGCAGGCTCATGTGGGGGCAGCACTGAGTAAGACCTGTGCCCTGGCTGCACAGCTGTCTCATCCCACTATTCTCCTGGCCCACAGTTTGTCTGTATGGAGTGTCTGGTGACTGCCTCGATGGACATGTTCCCCCAGCAGCTCCGGAAGAGCGGGAGGCGCGAGCTGCTGATCCTGGCAGTGGCAATTGTGTGCTACTTAATGGGGCTCCTTCTGGTCACTGAGGTGAGAGGGCAGCGTGGGACTGCCGACCCTGCAGAACCGTCCCTTCTCTCCCCCTTCCACCACCCCTCCCCCCATGGTGAAGGAAGTTGAAGGTTCCACTCACTAGACTGAGTGCTGGTGATGGGAGACTGAATGGGGTCAGGGGAGAGCAAAGTCTGGAGCTATTTTTGGCTTCCATCAAATGCATGAGTCTGCCCGTGACAATGTCCAGTGTGTTCCTTTTTGTGTCCCACCTCTTTTTTTCTCAGGCCGCTTGGCCCCCAGGCAGGTTTCCCCTAGTGATAACAAAGAAGACTGTTTGGGATCTTGGTACCTTTTCCCATTCAGCCAATCAGGCTTTCCCTTGAGTTTGACAGGTGTTCAGGCTAAGACCCTTCCTTGGGCCTGCAGCACGAGAGAGGACTGCCACAACCCAAAGGAACAGACTGAAGGGTAGCAGCTCCACCAAGAGGGGACACTGGGCAGATAATACACCACATGTCCCCCGCTCCCAGCACTTTGCGGGTCTCAGAAATTTTTGTCCCAAGGCTGATGGTAGTGTCTGACCGCACAACCAGGCAGAACAGATTCCTGGTAGCTGTCAAACATTTCCCTGAGCAGGGCAGACCAGGGCACTTGTGGGAGCAGGCGTGGCCCTGCTCAGGCCTCAGCTCCCTCCTCCTCTGCAGGGCGGGATGTACATCTTCCAGCTCTTTGACTACTACGCCTCCAGCGGCATATGCCTGCTCTTCCTCTCCTTGTTTGAGGTGATCTGCATCGGCTGGGTATATGGTGAGTGGGGCAGGTGGTTAAGGGGCAGGAGCAAAATGCTCCAGGGCTGATGCCGGCAGGCTCTGTCCAAGACCGGAGTCTTGGTCTGGCTGCTCTGATTCTTTCTTTCTAGGAATGTCAGACATGACCTGGGGGCCCCACGTCTCTCTTAGAGTTCAGGCAAGGAAAAAATAGGCTTCCTTCATCAGTCAGAGGGGACATTTAGGGCTGTCTGGCCTGACACCTCCCCCAAACCTACCCTCAGATTCCTTCATTCCTTTTCCAACATTCAAGTTGCTTCTGCAGGTCTTGTTGAACCCTGAACACTGCATGGACAGTCCTCATGCTTTAAAAGCAGCTTTTCCCCATTGCTTTACAGTGCGGTGAATTCGGTCATGTCCTGACTTCCAGGGCTGGCCTGGGCCCCACAACACTGAGATCTCAGTCCCGTAATGTGTAAGCCACTGTTACGAGTGGCAGTAGCTGGGGGGGGGGGGTTCCGGCACTGTGCTGGGCAGATCACATGGCATTGCAAGATCTGCAAATGGGCCTCATGCAGTGGAAAGAAGGCTTGGGACAGATGCTATTCTGCCTGAGCTCATGCAGCTACTAAATGGAGGTGCCATCATGTACCCAGGTCTGCAGGCTCTGCCACAGATCAGGGACACAGTGCTAACAATGCCCCGAGGCTCAGAGCAGAGAGGATATGTAGCCACCTCATATTAGGCTCTCAGATGAAGCCTGAATAAGAGGGGTCTTACTTCACAACCCCAGCCTTCCTATGGTGCCCTTTCCTGGCCTTGGAGCTGGCACCACCTTCCCACCCCAAGCATTAGATACCCGTCTGATTCTCTTGTACTCAAAGGCTGTAATAAGCTCAGTCAAGGAGGTGGAGGAAGCTGATATGCCACACCTCCTGGCAGTACTGGGCTTGGAGCTTTGGCCTTTAGAAGTCAAAGTGGTGGCCCTTTAAGGGTTGGCATTCATGTATCAGTATCAGTGGAAAGGCAATGAGCTAGGGTTAGAGGAGTCCCCCAGATGTGGCCAGCGGTGAATGGCTCTTCACAGCCAAGGAGACTGGTTCTGCCTGAAAGCTGACATAAGCAAAGCCACTAAGCACACACTGACCTGGCAGCGGCGAGCATGAGGAATTCGAGGGGCTGGGATCGGGAGCACAGCACACAGCTCTATTCCTTGTACTTTTCTCCCCTCTGCAGTGTGGGTCAGTGAGGATTTGCTGGGATTGGCTCCTTCAGGCTTGTATACTCCCGTGTGCATAGGATAGACGCTGTTCATCCTTAGACAGGACAGCAGAGGTTGTTCCAACAGTTTGTGGGTGGCAGCTTCCGCCACCATCACTGCTCTGTGGCTGGGAGGCTGCTGGGTCTGCATCTCTTTACCCATCATGCCCCATCTCTATCACAGGCAGGGCTGGGGGCCAATGGGAGGGATATTTCCCAAAGGCCAAGAAGTTGTATTTATCTCTGTCTCACCCTTTCTTCTACTCTGCTGTCTCAGGGGCGGACCGTTTCTATGACAATGTGGAGGACATGATTGGCTACCGGCCATGGCCCTTGGTGAAGATCTCCTGGCTCTTCCTGACCCCTGGCCTTTGCCTGGTACACACCTACCCACTGCCCCTTCTCCCTCTGTGGAAGACTCGGGGTATGGGAGCTCTATCCTGCCTGAACAGAGGGGCTGGTACCCTGATCTCCCTTCTCTACTGGGCCCCTCATCCATCTGCCTTCCTCTAGTCTCCCTCTGCCTCAGTCCCCTCACAGCCCTACCACTCCCTGATAGGCTTCCTGTCTGCTCTGAGCTCTTTAGCCCCATGCTCGCTCACCACCTGTGACTGATGGTTCAATGATACTATCCTACCTCAGATGCCTCTCAGTGTGGGTGGGTGGTCTTCTGTTCTCGGCTGTTGGTGTAGCCAGGGAGGGACTCTTGGCCCCTGTCTCATCCTGCCTCTTCCCCTTTTAGGCCACCTTCATCTTCTCCTTGAGCAAGTACACGCCTCTCAAATACAACAATGTCTACATGTACCCTTCTTGGGGATACTTCATTGGATGGCTCTTGGCTTTCTCTTCCATGGCCTGTGTCCCACTCTTCATCATCATCACCCTCCTGAAGACCCAGGGTTCCTTCAAGAAGGTAGGTGGTTGTGGAGACGACTCGTGAAGAAGGCCCTGAGGGAGGCTTAGGTCAGGAGCAATACCAGCTCCCCATATAGGACAGCCCAGGGGCTGACTACATGGAGACCTTGAAGGCCTTTGAAGAGCGGGCCTCTGAAATCCTAGGTTCTTAGACATCAGGCTGATCTCAAAGCCAGGTAGTCAAGAGAAAACTGCTTAATGGGTAAGGAAAAAACAAAGACCATGCCAAAAGGGGCCAGATGTAGAAGCATTACAGAGCATACACACATCCTGAGCCTAGGAAAACTGCCAAGCATACCCGGTTCCTGGCTTCTTTGCTTATCCTAGTCCAAACTGGGGTATTGCAGATGGCTCCTATGTAGTTTGGGGTATGCCTTCCTTGAAGAAGCCATTGCCAATGACTGTAAAGGCATTAATTATGTCTGTCAAAGTCAGACTGTCCAATAGTAATAGAGAGCTAATGTGCAGTGGTTCAAGCGAATGGGCTTCTTGGCTTCTTACATGTCAGGAAGGTCAGCGATGGGGGCTGCTGGCACTTGGTTTGGCTGTGGAGAGGGCACTGGGGTCCAGACTCTTCCTGTATCCTCACACCCGCATCCTGAGCATAGCTCTTCATTGTCATGCTTACTACTTCCTGGACGCAAGAGAGGTTGTCAGGATTCCCAATTCCCATCATCACAGCTACCTTCAGGGCCAGAAAGGGGGTGCAGTTGACATACCAAAACCAATGTGACGATGTAGTAGTACTACAGATAACTGGAAAAATCTTATCAGGGCATATGACAATAGTAATTAGAAGGCCAGTAATGACAATCAGGCACTTATTTATCACTTGCCCTGCCCCAGGAACTGAACCATAAGGCGTTGTTGCCTCCATTTTACGGATGAGGGAAGGGAAGGAAGTGATGGAAGAGTAAGGTGGATTACCTAAGATTGCCTAGATAAACTAATCAGAACTGGAACCCAGGGCTCCACACTCTTAATTACTTCTCATTGTCTATTTTCACCTCAGAATCATCGCGCACTTAGCCCCAAGTGCCTGGCTTTGTGCCTGGGGACACCCTCACAGGAGCATCCTCCCGCTCACCCCAGCGCTCAGCTCATTCACTCACTGCTTCTCTTCTCTACAGCGTCTTCAAAGACTCATTACACCAGACCCCAGTCTGCCCCAGCCAGGGCAGCGTCCACCTCAAGACGGCGCCTCTGCTAACAACTCTTCGCCCTCACCAGTCAAGCAAGAACTCATTGCCTGGGAGAAGGAGACACATTTGTAGGACCTGCCAGAGGCCAGGTGACTCCAGAGTCAGCGACCTGGTCAAGGCTACCTCCTCCCAGGGATAACCTCTGAAACCTTGGAGGCCTCTGCACCCCCCGCCTGCTGGGAGCCACTGTTCACTTCGGAGAACTTGTCATTTTCTTGGTCCTTCCCACCTGTGCTCCAGGAAGCTGTTTGCCATGTGCTTTGAACTCAAGACCCTGACTTTTTGGATTAAAAAAAAAAACCCTAGGAACTGGACAAAGTGATGTCTTCCAGTTCACACAGCTTGTCAGAGCCTGAGACCCTCTGCTGCTCCTGTGCCCGTCTTGTGAGCTTCCAGCTTCACAGCCTCACCCCTGCCTCAGCTAACAAGCCTGTATGGATCACCTGCCATTACACACGTGCCTCTTCCTTGTCTCACTCCCCTTCAGCTGTTTTGTGGGAGGGGGGTCACCTCCACACAGGGGCTCTGGAATGGGGACATAGCTTGTTAAGTTCCTTTCTGGCCTCTACCTACCAGACTTCTCCTCACAGCTTTTCTACCGTCTCTTCCTGGGTGGTAGGTCTGCAGCAAGGAGCATCTCTCTCTCTCTCTCTCTCTCTCTCTCTCTCTCTCTCTCTCTCACACACACACACACACACACACACACACACACACACCCCTCCCTCTTTTCCCTACCCACTTTTCCTCTGGTCTCTTCCCAACCATTTCTTCCTACTTGCTAAATCCCACAGTACACAGCCTTTGGCTTTTGAGGGTTCCATGAAAGCAGGATGTGGATGAGCTCATGGTGAGCCTTCAAAGGGGAAGGGAAGAGAGGGAAGAGGGTACCCAGGACACTGGGCCTCACAGCCAAGAAAGGATGCAGAGATAAACATCGCCCAAAGGCCACCAAGTGGCCAGTGTCGCAATCCATGGCCTGAACAGTGTGCCTTCCATTCAGGGAGCCTTCAGGCCACCACACAGCATCAGCACCCCTACTTTCACAGAGCTCTGCAAGTCTTCTCGTTTTGAAAAGGAACATCCTTGGACTCAGAGTTCTTCAACTGCCCTGGCTCTTGGCAGCCCCTTCTGTCTTCTAGACTCCTATGTGTATCTAATTGGACCAGCTAGTGAGAAAATAGAAGGTCCAAGAAAGGATTCTTAGAAACCACTGCAGCTGGTCTAAGAATCCAGGCTCCTGCTGAGGGGCCAGTATGGAGCCCTTTCCTGCCCCCTGGTGGCAGAGGAAAGCAGTACCCCTCTTTTCTTTTTTGCCTTAGAAACCAGGCCGGATGCCTCATTGGCACAGTCTCGTCTGCCTCCTGGACCACAGAGGGTAGACTGTGTGGACCCTCTGAACTCGGAAAATGTCTGGGTCATTTTTGTCCTTCCTGGCTGTGTCCTTGACCTCCCCTTTGCCTTCACCTCCTTGCCCCCCCCCCACCAGGACTCTCTGACTTCCTTGTTTTCCACTCCTCACTCTGAGGCATTGACTGCCTTTGTCTCTGCTCACACAGGTTTAATTCCCTGCTGACCAAATCCACGTGGCTTCCTTGTTGATTTAGCTGCTCAATGAAGTAACAAGGGCTGATTGGATCTGACAGGGATGAAAAGCTTGTTAACTACCCATGGAGAAAGGTTAGGAAGGACACATGTGCTTTGGAAACAAATACAATCGGCAGGAGCCTGGCCTGTCAGGTCATGTTGGATTGAGGTGGGCTGATGCCTCAGGCCCAGCACCCTGAGTCCAGCTCTTGGGATAAGTGGGGTTGACTTTCTCATCTGGTCTGAGGAGCCTGTGTGTAGGTTTGATAGGTAAGCGTGGAATTGCCACAGACAGACAGAATGTCAAAGTTGGAGCCCTCCGAGGTCAGGTCTATCTGTAGGATCAGCATCCAGTCCCATTGCTGTGACAAGAGTCTGCTGGGACTGACAGGGACACAGGACAGACACAGGCTTGCTCTGTCCATCTCAGCAGCATGGATGGAGCTGTATTAGATGCCAAGGCCTGGCCCTGAGGCCAGACCCTATAAACAATCCTCTTACTGGGGCAGACCTGTTCTGGCAGGGTATCCATCCACAGGGGTAAACAAAGGGGCCTCACGTTATCCTGGCTGGGTTAGGTCTCTAATGAAGAGGTGACATTTGCTCTGCTCTGGTGAGAAGGCTCTCAGGGGACACAAGAGCTGCTAGGACAGGCTGGGCAGCCAGCCACCAGGAGATCTGAGTTCTCTGCCTTATTGTAGCCTCAACTTGAATTCTTGGGGCTTTTCATACAGACAGTTGGGTGTCTGGAACTATCATCATGTTTTCCCAATTACTGTTCCTTATCTCTTTTTCTTTTCTTTTAATCACTTGGTGACTAGTAGTGGTGGCAGGCAGAACCCTTGCCTTCTTCTCAGTCTTGACAAACATCATGACATTTCACCACTAAGTGAGATCGTTGATGCAGATGCTTGATGGATGACATTTATTAAGTGATGAAGTCTATTGGCTCCAAGTTTGTTTTATTTGAAATTAATAATGCATGTTGAGCTGAGAGTGGGGCTGCAACAATTAGGATGTTGAGACAGGAGGACCATGAGTTCAAAGCCAGTGGCGCTGCATGGTGATAGCCCGTCTCAAAAGTCAAAAACTAAAACAAAGCAGCAAAGAAGAAGAATGCTGAATTTGACTTCTTTTCTGCATCTGTTAGACTGTTGTTTCACTCTGTGGATGTGCTGAAGTATACAAATAGATGTTGCTTTTTAATTATTTTACACCCAGACGACAGCTTCCCCCTGCTCTCCCCAGTCCCTCCCCCGCCAAATAGATCTGTCTAATACTAAGCCAATTTCTTATTCTTGGAACAAACCCAGCTTGGCCATGGTATGCTGTTTTGAGGTCACTCTATGCCATGTTCAGTCTGTTAATGTTTTGTGCATAAGTTTTGGATATAGGCTTATAAGGCTAGATTGGCTTTCGCACTCTCCTCTCCAAATTATCCTGACCAGCGGTGAAGAGAAGGGTCTTTTTGTGTTTGAGGTTGTGTTGAGCTTGTAAATGAGGAGGCTAGGACTGGTTTTGTCTTTTCGGAAGGAGTTCATGTGAGATTAGCATTCTCTGTTCCTTGAATATACATGGAATGTACTTAGTTACCTGATCCAGTGTCGTGTGATGGATTTTTAAAAAAAATGTTCTGTCATTGTCGCATATCTCAAAATTCCTCTTAGTTTTTTTTTTTTTGTTTGTTTTGTTTTGTTTTTTTTAAACAAACTCTGGCAAGCTTTATTAAAGAAAAAGTTCTCCTACTTTACTTTCCTGCCATCTATGATGGCATGCTTCTAATAACATCAGAAGCCTCCAGATCAATGACAGCCAGCATGTACACACTGTAGGATTTTCTGCATGCCGTGCCCAAGTCAATATTATTGCCACTGTGTTGGTGGGCAAGAGCTTTGGCAAACCTTTTGAGTTACCATGTCAGCTTTCCTCAGAGCTGGGCAGTTGGAGAGGATGAGCTACTGTGCTTTGCCTTTGGGTATCTTCAGAGTCAGCTGGTAGTCCAGCATATATGTTGAGTTCTTCATAAGTTGGGGCCTAGAGCTGACCATCTCCAGAGACATTTTGTTTTCTTTGTGACTGCCATCTTTCTGCCTTCGGGGTAGAATGCCCCTCAACCAAGGTGGCTGAGGGAAAACTTTTTTTTTTTTTTTTTTTTTTGAGAAAGTGTCTTACTATGTAGCCTAAGCTGTCCTTGAACTCACAAATCTCATGCTTCAACCTTCCAAGAGATCCTGGGATTGGAGGTATGCACTGCCATACCCATCTCTATTTGGTCTAATGATTTGGCGAGGCATTTTGATAGCCATGGGTTTACAGTTTCTTTGTAGTTTTTGGTTACAAGGAGCCTGTGCCGTGTCTGCAGCTCTGACTTCAGGGCTCGCTCACTGGCTTAGCCATGATGTCCCTTAGAAGGTTGTTAGCTTTGTCCGTCGTCACATGAGCTTTCAGTTCTATCAGTTTCTACAGCACACATATTTTCTATTCATCTCTGCTCTGTCTGTCTTATTTCTTTCCTTCTGTTTAATTTTGGGCGATTCTTTTGCTCTTCCTCCTGCAGCTAGGTATCTTCGTATCCACAAAAAGGATAGCTAACCTGGTTAGTTGGAGTAAGAGGCCAGGGATCCTGTGCATCCTTGTGAAAGGAGTGAGGCTCTCCTACCCCTGGCTTCTGTGTCCTGAGGGTGAGTTCTTGAAGGCATGGGGATCTTAGGAAAGAGGAGCAAGGCAGGTCTGCCTAGGAACCATGGGGAAAGTCAGGTTTCTAGCCTTCCCTGCAGCCAGCCTTGGTTTTCTCAGAGTCCAGCTTGGGCCTGAGGTCACTCAGTCCTGAGGTCGTGAGAGCAGGAAGCCCTGGGTTGCTAGGGGCTGGCTGGTTCTCTAGGGAGCAAAGCACACAGACCTGTTGGAGGGGACAGGGGTGGGGGCAGGGATGGAAAGAGTCTCCACCCTTCCTGCCCATCTCTGTTGGTACCCTCTGGCCTAATCCAGGGTGGAGTTTTCCTGCTGGGACCAGTTCTAGACCTGCCCCTTCTCCCATCCCTGATAATTAACCTCCTTGCTTCCAGGGCCTAGCTCTGGACCCTGTCGCCTATGTTGGAAGAACAGGGAACAGTAAAAAACGTGGGCTTGCTTTAGTTCCTGGGCTCTGGTGGCGCCTCAGCCCTCTCCACCCTCTGAAGGGTCTGCTTGGAGGGACATAGAGTGGACCTTGCTTCGGACAATCTGTCATATTTGTGTACACCGGCATGGGCTGTTCTCATAGTGTCCCCTCCACAGCTGGAACCTCATCTGCCACGTGAGCCTGTGGGTCAGAGGAAGGAGTTGGTGAATGAAAGGACCCAATGGACGTGGTACTTGGCAGGCTGTCACAGTTCTGTGATTACCCAGAGATCTGTGGGTAATGTGGTCATGGTCATCTGTGGGCCAGAGCACTGGGGAGATAGGGCAGCGCTGCTTTTCCCAGGAATCTGTTATCAGGTGTCAGAGTCATGAAGCCTGCTCTGGTTGGGCCTCACCCTGTAGTGTCTGCCTCCCAGATCAAGGGGGTCTCACCCCATAATGTCCAACCCCAGGACCCACAGGGGCAGCAAGGCCCAGCGTCCCCCCCCCAGGGCCCACAGGGGCAGGGGCAGCAGGCCCAGTGTCTGCCTCCCAGGCCACAGGGGCAGCACACTCATTCCCCAGCTTTGCCTCCCCTGAGCTGTCTGCCTCCCTCGGTCTTTCTCTGTTGGTTTGGGTTTCTGACAATCATCTGCTGTTTGTTTGTTTGCCTTTTCCTCTATTAACTTAAGGGAGTTTTTCATCTCCTCTTTAAGGGCCTCTATCATTTTCATAAAGTTTTTTAAAGGTCATTTTCTTCTGCTTTATCTGCATTGGGACGTTCAGGTCTTGC